TACCCCTAATAATACTACCTAAAGCTGCGAGGTCTTCCTCATAAGCGAGCGCAGCACAACGAGCTTCTCGGATGCAGATTCTCAGAGTTAGATGAGGACTCTATGTGCCCTAGGCTGTGTTCGGGAGCTTCGCCCCTAAACCCTAAAACCTTCAATCCTAATTGAATTTCTAGACTCTAATACTCTAAATCCTTGACCCTAAACTCGAATACTCTAAACTCTAAACAGGCACAGAAGGTGAGAGGGTTCAGGTTTAGGATTTAGGATTGAGGGCTTGAGGTTTCAGGTTATGTACAATCATTACACATAGACGCCTTCATGGAACGGTTATTATAAGAAGAAGGTTTTGGGCTATAGTGCACTATATATCCATGCGGACCCTCGAGTATAATATGGTTTTGAGACCCGAAACCCCAAACCCTAATTATGTAAGGACGATAATGAGCCCCTAAACCCTAAACCCTAATTATGTAAGGACGATCAGGCGATACAAGCATTAATTAGTGGAGATCCTTATTCCCAAGTTGCAAGGAGCTCCCATGCTGGCTCCCGGGCAACATCTGCGATCATGCATCCTGGAGATGAGATTATAAATTACCCTAAACCCTAAACCCTATTAACCCTAAGACTATAAGTGCTGCGGAAGTTTCGGGGTTTGGGTTTAGGGTTCAGGTGGTTCCTTTTTATACCTAAATAATTGCCTATAATTGCTATTTGGGGGTTCCTTATTAATATGCTTATAGTATAATATACTCCAGAGACCCGATTCTCATCCGTAGTCCGAGAGAGCATTGGAGTTTCGGAAAAAGGATCCTAACGCACATCCCAAGTAGCATAGCATCTTCGATCTAGGGTTCACGTCAACCAGAAGAGAAGGAAAGGGCTCCGCTCCGCACGAAAACAATAATGCCCCTAGCATGAAATACCGACATCTTCTAGCATTGACGACCGGTATCTGGCAACTGAGGCTGTAGCCGTGGTGCCAAGTTGCACGCTACGAACGGTGTAATGGCTATTCCGCTCAGTTGGGTCCTAATCACCATCTTCGAAGACCCTGAACCTGAAACCAGGACCTCTGCACCCTCAACAACCAGGAATTGGGTTGCTCGAAGCTCAAGTCAGACAGATCACAAAGTGTGGAACGTGCCTTTGGATTCTAAGAGATAGCATCAGCATGGGCTCCAGACTGCACTTGGGCCGTTTTGGGTGTGCACCAGGCTTCCTATCACGCTGAAAGGGTAATCCTTTGATGCAAGCATCTATTCCCCAAGCTATAAGTTTATCACTAAAACTCTGAACCCTTCCAAAGCCCTACACTGAACTTGTAAAGGGTTGTGCAGGCGGAAGTAGGTCCAAAAACCCAGCGACACCAGGCCGTAGGCCCTATAAACCCTAAAGCGGCCAGGCAAAGCACGGTCGATTACTGGCTCGACTGCTGGGCACGTTGGGCGGAACGGCTCGGCCTGAGGGAGGAGCTGATGAAGGAGAACCGGCCTTACCTATAGCCTCCATTGTATACAGCTCTTGTTTCTGAAACAATTTTATGGGTAGGATCCTATACTATAGAGGGCGGCCTGACCTGGACCCCAATAGCATGTGGAATAACAACCCTTTTAGAGGTTTCGGGCCATTTGTTGTACCTGCTTCGGGGAATTCATGGATGTAGGGAGGCCTTAAATCAGCATCAGCAACCATAACGCGAACACTGAGTAATACCAACAATAGGAATAGGTATTTGGGACATTTTACAGCAGACCTCAGGGGCCCAATTTGTTAGAGAAGTCGATCCGACAGTCTGGAGCGCTGCATCGGGAAGGTGGCAGTTCCAAAGGCTCCATGTACCTTTATAGTAGATACTTAGGCCTTAACGGGTCCCTATATCGGTACTTTAAAGCCTAGGTAGCTACTATAAAGGTACATGGAGCCTTAGGGAGTTTTCGTAGTTAAAATACCCCGGTCCGACCCGATAGTCCCCAGCCTTAACCCTAAGGGCCCAAGTACCTACTAATCATATACTCTGCCAAATACTAACCTACATAACTACTATCCGAAACTCAAGTACCTGATTATTGGGTCCTTTGGGCCCTTGGGGGTTAAGTTTCACTCAAAGTTCCGTCGTAATAGTATCAGGACCCTGTGGTCGAGCTCCTCAGATCTGCCGCGCCCACCGAAGAAGAACGCAGCTCGCCTGTGGGTGGACGCTTTGGGGTTTCGGATATTAGGACCGCTGAAGTTCCGGATCTCAGGACAATCCCAATCACTGAATAGCATGGCTTCCTTACGATTCGACTTGCTTTCAAGTTCCAAACCGCGCCTAACCGTAGGAATGCATGTTCTTAGCGGTCTCAAAGCCATGCCGACTTCTACAGCAATGTAGAGGTCTTACTAACTAGAATAGGGTTTTGCGGGTTCCTTATTATCATTGCCCTAACCGTCGAACGCTTGAAAAAACAGGATATGGCGCTTGAAACTACCAATCGAATCTGCTGCGCCTGAAACTACCAGGTGCGCCTGGTATTTCCTAGTGGACCCGCTAGGAACCGGGTGTGGTGCGATGTTCTCCTATAGGTTCCTCGCTAGGTTCTCATCAATGCTTTCGCTAGGTTTTTAGAGCTGGGTGTAGAGTGGAAAATGCAGTATAGGATGTGCTTCCGCTTGACTTATGTTCCACTCTCCGTTAGGTTCCTCGCTAGGTCTTTGAATCGCTAGGTTTTCACAGAAACCTGGTGGCCCCGCTTGAAAATACCAATCGGACCCGCCCAGCTTGAAACTATCATGTGAATCCTGGTTTTCCTGTAGGCCGATGCATAGGGTATAGTATAATACCCCCCCAAAACCCCATTCTAATTACCGAGGCCCCTATAGCAGGCACTTTAAAAGCCCTAAACCCCTAAACCC